AACATTACTTCAAAAATGAACAGTTTTGAGTACTTTGGCTTGATCTGTGGGAGGGCAGCTTGGTGCTCTTTTGTCAGACAGGGCAGTGCATGCGATTTGGGGTATTCTTGGATGGACTGGAGAAGAATGGTTCCGGGAGGAGGCTAGATTATAGGAGGGGAGTGGTTCTATTAATTCATTTTGTATTTGTTTTTCAGATTGATGTTCGCAGGGAAAACCTCGTTGAGGAAATCAAGAGGCGAACGTGCCAGCCCTAGCCTCCCAGCCACACCTGCTAGTTTGTTGGATTTCAACTGATACTGGGGAAGGGGAAGACTTTAGAGATTTCCTCTCTAAATGCCGCAGTTCTTGGCTATTTTGCTCATGACATGTCAGTGGGGACACAGGGGTCTTTGAAGCCGTATTTATTATTTTATCATGAAATTCCTTTTCCCAGAGGGAGCAGAGATGCTGCTTTGCTTTTTAAAGAACGCTGTGCTCCTGGGCAGAGCCAGTGAGAGAGCTGGAGAGGATGTTTCCTGAGACACTCTGGAGAATGCCAGCCGTGTGTCTGTAATCATTACTATTACTGGGCAGAGCTGTAGCACCCTGGGCCATTGGCAGACACTGAGGATCTTGGTCATAGCTTCATGTTCCTTTCTGTTTGAATAAATGTTCTGCACAGTGTCACTTCTCTGCCTAGAGGGGAAATGACCTTGTCTCGAAGTGTAAAACATTCTAAGCAAGTTTAATAAACCTTCTGACAGTCCCACACCTGCCTCTTGTGTGACTGTCTTCTGGAATTGCCAGTATGTCAAGGTTTCTGTTCCTCTTCCCCCACACTCCCCCTGGACTAGGGCCGGGTGTTAAATGTCACTGATGCTGCTGTTCCATTCCTTGAGTTCCAGGGACCTTTTAAAAAGTGCACTGGGGATGGTATTTTGCAGTGTGCAGTGAAAAGCCTTATCTGGAAACTCCCATTGGAAACATTGAAGAAAAAGCAAAATGAAGACCTGAGTTGAGTGGTGTGCAGAAGCAGGAGGTAGCCAGGATGTCCCTGCCATCTCTATTCTTATCTAATTCCTTAAGTATTGTAGAAGTAATTTAACTTTGTGCCAGTCACTCATAATCAACTAAATTCCCTATGAAGGGCAGCAGGCTGCTCCTAATCCCCCCTTTAATGTATAAAATTCCATAGAGTCCTCCCATTGTGGTTTAAATGCATTAGGACTTGATTCCATCACCTCCATTGTTTTCTCTTCACCAGTCTGTAAAATAATCCCTACTTTAATTTGGTTTACATGGGATCCTTTAAACTTGTGCGCCCTAGTTCTGGTTTACCCAGTGACCTCAGACACGTTCAGTTTAATTGGAGGATAACCCTTAGCAAGCAGATGTACTGCAGTCAGCTCCCTCTCAATTTCTCAGAACTCCCTTTTCTCAGAACTAAATAATCCCAGTTTTATCTGTCTCATTATTTTAGTTGCTCTATGCTGCCCAAATTACTCCAAAAAGTCTTTACCCAGTGCAGTGTACTATCACTTGATAATCTCCTTGAGCTCTCACAACGCACTCCCCTGCAAAAACCTCAATATATTTTTAGCCACCTTTGCTTCGGCTGCTGCTTATTGGGTTAAGTTTACCAGTCAGTAGGGTTTATCAGCTCTTCTTCCTCTACTATTTCAGTGCCATAAGAACTATACTAAAGCCCAGGGGTGGGCAAACTGCAGCCTGCGAGCCATTTTAAGGTGGCCTGCAAGCTCCCACTGGGGAGTGGGGTCTGGGGCTTGCCCCGCTCCGGTCGGGGGCGTCACCACGCAGCTCCTGGAAGCCATGGCATGGCCCCGCTCCAGCCAGGGCGCAGGGTTGGGGGATGCTCCATGTGGCTCCTGGAAGCCGCGGCGTGACCCTGCTCCTGCTCCTATGCGCTCCAATTGGAGCTGCCTGGCCACTCCTCTGTGGAGGAGCCGGAGAAGGGACATGCTGCTGCTTCTCGGAGCCACTTGAGGTAAGTACCACTCGGAGCCTGCACCCCTGAGCCTCACCCCACGCTCTGACCCCCTTCCCCAGTCCTAATCCCTCCCATGCCCTCCAAACCCCTCAGTCCCAGCCCAGAGCACCCTCCTGCACCCCAAACCTCTCATCCCCAGCCCCACCCCAGAGCCTGCACCCCCCAGCCAGAGCCTGCACCCCACTCCCCCACCCCAGCTCAGAGTCCCCTCCCGCACTCTGAACTCATTTCTGGCCTCACCCCAGAGCCCGCACCCCCTCCTGCACCCCAACCCCAATTTTGTGAGCATTCATAGGCTGCCATACAATTTCTATTTCCAGATGTGGCCTTGTCCCAAAAAGTTACCCCACCCTTGCTATAGCCTGTCTAAACCTTAGACATTTCTGCCCCTCTGCATCCCTTTCGGGCTTGTAGAATGTAGAATTGTTTACTTCTGAGACCATTCACCTAATCTTTGTCCCAAATCCTCTCTCTCAAGATTAATCACTTAAGTGAGTCTTAACCGCTCCCCTTCTTCTGTGTCAAACCCTAATGCTATTTAAGTGTTTTTGTCCAAGGCTGGAATTTTCAAATTTGTCCAAATCCCATTAAATTTAGTGGAAGTTGGATGCCTAATGATCTGAGCCTTTTGGAAATATCCCAGACTGATTAGAAAGTTGCATGCATTGAAATGTCACCTAAATCACTTTAAATCAAATGTTGCATCTTCAGCAGACTGTCCTGTTTGTATACTTAAAAGTAAAACTCAAGAGCATAAATTAATGAGACAGCAGCTCCTATTTTTCTTTCAAGGTAAGAGTGGTCACACTTAGCACACTTTTTAAATGTAGGAACTGGCACCTGCTTTCCAACTAGCAAGAAAGAAAACTGCAGAGTTGCTACTTTTTCATGCATTTAAATGGGTGCTGAATTATTAAAGTCATACAGTCAGCAAAACCTTAATTCTCATTAGAGTATCAGTATAGGGGAGGTTTCACTGAGATAACTGGTGGTGGTACAGAGAGGGTGGGCTAAGGATTAAGGTTCCTAAGCAAATAGAACAGGATCCAACCCTGATATTCCACTTACTTCAAAGGGCGCCTCTGATTTAATAATACTTGACTCCAAGGTGCTACAACTGATCACTGCTGTTTTCCTTTAAAACTTCTTCTGAACAAACCAAAGTTGTGCTGGGTTGGGTTGGATAGGGCTGGAAGCGGCTCTATTAATTCTGTGAGAAAAGAAATGCAGAAACGTGTCTTCTCCATGAGCCACTTTCCCTGAAAAATCAGAACTGGGTGGGTTTGGCTGGCTCTGGTGCCTGCTTTCTTTTCCAGAGAAGCTGGTTATGAGTAGGTAGCTGTAAGTTTCTGCAAAAAACTTGTTGACTGCTAGGGCAACAGTATCTGAAACGACTGGACTAGAGAGAGGGGGGAGCATGACACTTTGCTAGCCGTGTTCATGCAGGGCAGTGCACAAACCGCCCCAGAACATGTTGCCTTTCTCTGACCCTGCTAGCAAATGCAGGGACATTTCGTTGTGTTAAGCCAGCATTGGTTCCTGAGCAGTCTCTATTCCTGTTCAGTTCCCTTATGCTATTCTGAATCTTGCCAGCATCAAGCCCTCAGGGTTCGACAGTAGCTGGGCCTACCAGGGCATTGGGCTAGTAGTAGTTGTGGGTTCCTGCAGCCATTACTTCTCGTGGTCTTTATCATGAGTGTGAGTGTCGGCACAGTAAGGGACCTAATGGGGAGGGTGGGGGGGGTTCTGTGCATAACCATCCTTCAGTGCTCTGGAACAGGAAGAAGTGGCAGGTGCTATCCGCCTTACTGCTGTACCCTCGGGGGATCAGCTGGGGCTCCCACCCCTTCCGTGGGGACACTGCCCGTCTGGCCCCTTGCCCTGCTGGCAGACCTGGCACGGGAGCTGCTGGGAGCAGCGCCCCTCTCCGCAGGCCCCCTCGGGCTGTAACTTTGTAACGATGACTGGAGACGGCAACTTTGCCGCAGCCCCCTGACCCTTGGTGCCGGAGCGAGGCGCCTCGCCGACGTCCAGGGCCGAGGCCGGCTCCACCCTAACCCCCGGGGGGCGGGGTGAGCCCAGCCAACGCCCAATGAGCGAGCCCCGGTCGGGGCCGCTGGAAGCTTCCAGGCCTGGGGCGGCTATAAAGGGGCGACGGGCGGAGCCACCCCTGCGAGGGATTTCGCTGGCGCAGCATGGAGGGCGCGCTGGAGGCGCAGGTGAGCGCCCTGGGGCCTTTCCCGGGGCTCGCCTGGCTGGATAGCGGCCCGAGCAAGGGGGCCTGGGCTCTGGTGCCGAGCATGTGCCCCTGGGTAGTTCCGGTCCCCTCTTGCCTCCCCCTCCCGGAGGGCAGGGGGAACCTCCAGCCTCCTCGGGCGGCGCAGCCCCTTTGGCTGTTGCGGCGCCTTCCGCCGGTACAGGGCTCCTGGAGCGGCGCTCAGCGCTTCCCCGGCCCCAGGGGGCCCGACCCATCTGCCGGCCGCGGAGAGAGCTTCGTTGTGAGCGGCTCCTCGGGCAGGGCGGGGGCGTCCGGACCCTCCTGGTGCGGGGGGTGCCGGTATGGAGGGGATCTGCGACGCCGCCGGTGTTCTGGGGTAGCCGCTCGAGTGCTCCCGATGCTGACCCGCTAGGAAGGGGTAGAATCGGCGTCGCTCCGCAAGCTGGCGCTGGATGGCAAGTGCTAGGTTCAGGGGCCTGGCGGAGCCTTGCAGCAGGTTCCGGCCCGTTTTGCTGCGGGTCTGGCCAAGGGGCCGAACTCGCTGCCCGGAGACTCCCCTAAACAGGCGCTTTGCGGAGAGGAGTCCGCCCCAGGGAGCGTTAATGAACTTGGGTCCCCTCTGCGAGCTCTTCCCCCCCCCCCCATGGGTCCCAAGAGGCTGGGCCTGGGGTGGCGCCCTTGTCAGAATGGAGGAGCACGGAGGTTGTGTGCGCCCTGAGGTGGGAGACCAGCGAGGAGGTGTGGGGTGATGCCCGTCCCTGCGGAGGAGCAGGGGAGGGAGTGGAACTCCAGGAAAAGGTGGGGGTGGAGTCTGGAAATCCGTGTCTGAGTGGTACTGATCCCTCAAAGGCTTGGAGCCGCCAAACAATCAGAGATAAACTAACTTAACTCTCCCCAGGATTTAGCTACACTTTTTTGGTTTTATTTATCTGTAAATGTCAGTCTGTTTGTTTGGGCTGCCCCTGGCACTATCTGTTGTATTTTGATGGTTCTGACACACCCACTGCCTTTTTTTGGCTGACACAGGTGTTCCCAACTTCTCAGCTATCACTCCCTTCAGCTGGCTATTGCAACGAGACCATGTTTCTTGTCAAGATATGCAAGTTGCTTAGATTTGGTGGCAGGGTGCTGCATACCCAGATTAGAGGGAGAAAATAATCTTCCTAAAACACTTTTAGACAACCCAACAATGACAACCCAAACTGGGGAGGAAGCCCATCTTGAAAAGGGGAGAAGGAAGGTGACTTAAAATCTTAACATGCATTATGGCCATCTCATGGCTGTGTTAAGCCCCCATGAGGTGCTCTCGCATGTTTGATTCTGTATGTAGGGGGCATTGTTGCTGGTTTAGAGAACTAGGCGGTTTAGGGCCAATCACTTTCCTGCTCTCTAATCTCTGTCTTCTGGAAGGATTTTACCTGCTTTAGAAAACAGTACAACTAAATATGTACTAGGTGTAGAAACTAATGTTGAGGCTTGAGAGCGGTCTCTAAAATGCTTGCTACATGGTATGTAAAGGGTGATGTCTAACCCAATCTAGTTAAACTAATGCAGACCCCTGTGTGGATGTACTTATTTCAGTGCAACTTAAACTGACTTCTAATCACATTAAGCTAAATCAAAACATCCTTGTTTTGAAACCAGGATAAGAGCCTCTACACAGGGGTTTGTGCCAGTTTAATTAAAAGTGGGTTTAAAAAAAAAAAACTTGAGTGAAACTGATGCAATTGTCCCATGTAGAAAAGGTTTTAGTAACTTCTTGTTGTAGAGTCTCCATTCCTAGGAAAGATGCTGATTTCTCTTTGGGTGGGGTATGGGAGCTGCCACTTAACCAATATTTCTCCAGCTGAGTTGCAATTTAAGTCTTAGGAAATGTAGCTTCTAACTGGAGTGAGTGTGTCAGAGGCTGTCACAGCAGTATGATATTCTCTCTGCCATCCTTTTCCAGATATCCTGTCTTAGCATCAGTCTGAGTTGGTGGCTGTCTGACTGCTTTCTTCAAGGTGTCTGAACACCTTTTTATGTATTACTCTTAAGTTATTCTCTAATACTGAGGTTTTTCCTCTTGAAAACCTTCTGCAACCTGGACTTCATTCTGGAGTCTTTGCTGGAATCTAGGGAGCTTCATAGGTCCTCATCACCATGGAGTAAGTGGGAGTGAGCTGATGAGGCCTCCCTGCAACACTGGATCTACTATGGCTCCATTTAACCAGACCAGGTAGGTGAACCTTGACTGAGTAGAGCCACCGGAAGTCTCTGTGATGTAGGAGTCTTGTCACATGTTCTCTGACCCTGGAGAATAAGAAAGCGCAGTCTAAAGTTTTACATACCGGTTGGTGGTAGTTTTTGGAGGAGGGTTGTAAATGGGTGTCTGTCTGCTGGTGGTGTGGATCACTGCTAACTCGCTTCCTCTGAAGGCCTCAGACATGAGGTCAGAAATAACCACTGGGCCAACCTTGGACAAAGTATCCGTCTGGTTCCTTGACAGATGTGGAGTGATGCCATCAATCAGAACAACAAAACAGCCCTGTTGGCCTGGGTGAAGACGACTGGCATCCAACTGGTGCAGGTCAATGGTCAGAGGAAGTATGGAGGCCCTCCTCCAGGTAAGTTGACCACTTTTTCAGTTACTTTAGGCATAGAAATACAGTCACTCTACTGGTTCCAAACTGCTGAGTCCATTCACAGCTCCATGATGGGTAGCAATGAATGGAAAACCTAGATAAGTTTCCTGATGAGGAAGTGTGGTGATATGGGGGCGTCTGTACAATGTAAGAATTTTGGTTGATACTGTGAAGCTGTTGCTATGAAAACTAGTATCGTGTGTGTATGTGTGTCTTTCCACCTCTGCTGGCAAGGATATATCATGTCTGACACAACATTGTCCCTGGCATTTGAATGCGGTTATGACTTACCCAAGGTGAAGCACATTGGGACACATCCACAGTACAAACTCTCGCCAGTGCACGTTACATAGGCATAAAGCTGCTGCAGTTATATCACTTGTATGCTTGGCTCCTTGCATTGGTGCTCTGCACGCTCACTAGGAGTGCCTATAACTATATGCAGTGGGTAGGTATCCTGATGTGCAAGTGCCATTGGGAACTTTTGGCAATGTGTGGAGGGGTAGAAACAAGTTGTGCAGGGGTGGGTGGAACTGCAGGGTCAAGTTCCCATCATGCAACTTTCTGCATAGCATAACATCTCTACCCCATAATTTTTGCTCCTGTTTTGAAAGTCCTATGAACCCAGGCAGGGCTTGTCACTGTTAGCCATCTCTAATAGAAGCATGGAGTCTGTACAGCTCTGCACTATTATCATGAGCGTTGCAAGCACAGGATACGCGATCTTTTTGGTATTTGTAGAGCCATGAGAAGAGTGTTGAAGGGTGTATTGGAGTGATATGATGAAGCTCTCCATGGATTGCAAAGGGAGGCAAGCCTGTGTTTGAACATGTAGGCCCACAAGAGTCTCTAGGGATTTTTGCTGCTGGAGAAGCTCAATTATATCCTGCTAAATCTGTTGTCTTTTCCTGTTGGGACTCCTGCATCTTTCTCCTGTCCACTCTATCCTTTTCCATACAGTCTGCAGTATTCAACCTCCAGGTCCTTTGTTCGTGATCTGATACAGCTCTGGCTTGCAGGATCTTGCTCAGCGTGTCATCCAAGTCGTCCTCTTTCTCCACCTTATCCTGCTCAGGTGTTCTGCATGTGTTAAGGGGGAACCCCTGCAGCCCACAACAGCTACAGACAGGTGACCCGGGGGTGGGGGTATGCAGGGTCATGGGCCCCATTTCTGTGAGTGCTGAGCAGGGCTACTCCTAGACATTGCACCACCAGTGAGTGCTGGGGGGGCAGTTACCCCCTGCCCTCCAAGTCCCAAGGCTGGGAGCCAAAGGAACAGAGTGGAGTGGGCTGTGGCCCAGTCACTCCACTTCCTGTCACACCATGAGTGCAGGGTGGGACTTGCTCTGCAATCACTGGGCAGCAGGAAGTGGAGTGACCCAGCCCCAACCTGCTCCACTCTGCCAGCTTGTGCTGGGGTGCAGTTCCCCCCTCAGGCCCCCCCCAGCCGCGGAGGACACCAAAATGTCTAGGGACACCCCTGTCTCCATGCAGGAGAAGCAGTCCAGCATGTAGAAGTCTGAGGCCAGGGACCCTGCTAAACAACCTGAAGAGAGTTTGTCTGCCAAGGGCAGGGTGAGCTAGTGAGGGGTGTTGCAGTTAGGTTTTCTAAATGATCTGTAGTCTGAGGCATAGTATACTCTACAGTTAGGTCGATGTTAGGCAGCTTGCATCGACCTAATTATGTCAGTGTCTACACTGCAGCCTTGTCCTGCCGATGCAAGTGCCCCACTACACAGGTATAATTCCTCCACTGCCACGAGAGGTGTAGGGCTTATGTAGGTGTAGTTAGGGCAACGCAGTGTCTGTGTAGACACTGCATTCCTTACAGAAGTTGTTGGCTCTTGTCAATTGACAAGAAGCTAGGCAGCTAGAGCCCAACTGCCTCTTGTACCCCTGGAGAGATGGGTAGCTGGACCCCGCTCCCAGCCGGGAATGTTTGTTGGCGGTCTTGTCAATTGTATGGCTCTGGAGCCGGGAACAAGGAGGCTAGAAACCCCGGGTGGTTTCCCCCTGCTCCTGGCAAGGAATGGGGAGGCAGTTCATGGGCGGGGGCAGCTCAGGCTCTTGCAGGGAGCTGCCAGCAAAATTGAAAGACTAGGGTCTCAGCTCCCCACGCTGCCCCTTTTAGGTCAGTGGAAGCGCTTCTGGTAAGGATGTGCACCACCAAACCAAGGACAGTAGTGCAGATATGCACTACCACAGTAAGTCAACCTAATAGAGGATGGCTTAAGTTTATAGTGTAGGTAGACCCTGAGTAATTTTCTCTCTTAAAGATCAAGGATGTGTTGGACTTCTGTGCAAAGTGTGTATGTGTTAAGCATTCACACCTACCACTTGAGCCCACAGAGGTACCAAAAAGGCTCATGCTTAAGGCCCTACCAAATTCACAAGCATAAAATATGCATCACAGACCATGAAATCTGATCTCCCCTGCAAAATCTGTCCATTGGTCACAGTACTGCCACCCTTACTTCTGTGCTGTCTTCAGAGCTGGGTGGCCAGAGAGCAGTGGCTTCTGGGTGGGCACCCAGCTCAGAAGGCAGTGCCGCCACCACCAGCAGCGCAGAAGTGAGGGTACCATGGTATGAGGGGGTCATCACTTTTTTGGGGGCAGGGCTGGCCTTACAGGTGGATTATATGGGCAACTGCCCAGGGTGCTATGGTTGGGAGGCACTCTGGTCACCCTGCCCCATGCACAGCCAACCCAATGTCCCCTTAGCCTCTGAACCCTGGTCCAGAGCTGGGGAAAGGGATAGCTGGGGGGCCTCAGTTGGGGGCTTCTACCATGTGCCAGGCTCCAGCTGCTAATCCTGGCTGGTCTGGGCGGGGACGAATGGGACTTCCTTGTCCCCTGCATGGGCCACTCCCAGGGTTGGGAGAGACCCACCTCTGGAAGCCTCCCCCAGCTGCAGGAAGCTCAGCAGCAGCTGGCTAGGAACCCAGCTCTTGTGCTGCTGGCACTAGCACTGACGGCAGACTGGGCTCCCGGGCTCCCGGCCAGCGGCTCCAGCTCTCCAGAAGTACGAGTGGCAATACTGCAACCCTCTACAATATAGCCTTGCGATCTCCCCATGATCCCTCCCGTTTTGGGTCGGAACTCCCATGCTCACAACACCGTGACATTTCAGATTTAAATATCTGAACCCATGCAATTTAAAATTTTAAAATCCAATGACCATGAAATTTACCAAAATGGGCCATGAATTTGGTAGGGCCCTCTTCATGCTTTTGGATGGAGTTATGGAGGAGGATGTATTTTAAGATGAGGGGAGTGGATCTGAAGGGTCAGCACTGAGCCCAAGGGTCTTGGGGCAGTAGGGGTGTAGACAGAGGGTCTGTGCCTTGAGAGCATGCCAAGGGACCCCCCCAGACTGGGACAGTTGTTGGGGGGGGGGGGGGGTCAGGTTCTGGAGGCTAAAACACCTGGGCACCCAGCAGCTGGCTTCCCTCATAGCAGCCTGGTGGGTGAGCAAGAGGGAGGGTGTGCTGTGAAAGGAGCAGGGTGCATTGATTTAAATCAAGGCCTTTGAAGATGATCACTGATCTTCAAATCACCGAGAGCCTCTGTTTGAATACTGATTTTAATTAACTTTTCCATTTGTACTCCAGTTATTTTTAAAGAAAGGTGCTGTCTTACTGGTTGGTGTACCCTTTAAAACATGGTGCTTTACAACTAAATAGAGCCTTGACACTAGATTTGGTGCATCTTTTTGCCACATGTATCTAAGCAACTTTATAGCTTAACATTTTCAGAGTCTTAATTGTATGTTAGAAAATGGTGACTGATATACTGCTTACTTGCTAGATAATTAACTTTTTGCTAATGATTTGTCAAGCTCCATTAGGATGGTAACTGGAATTTAAACACAACAGCATATAATTTTTTTAAATAAAACCTTTCATACAGTACATGACCTATTGTGCCATATTTATAAAGCTTATAGAGCCAAGTTAGAATTGGGGGAAGACCTTTCTTCCTATAGAAAAGTAGCCTTTAATTCCAAGTTTTTTGATAGCAGCTCATGGATTTAACTTTTTTAATTTAAATGTTTTAAGCAATTAATCAGATTTCATTTTTAAACAGGTTTACTTATAAAAAGAAACTTATAATAATTTAAAAAACTAAGTCAAAGAAACCTTTTTAAAATTTTTCTCACCCCTGGATGAGAGGGTTCCCTCTGTCCTCTCCCACTGAGCAGGACGGCCTTGCTCTTTACCCTTTTGGATCTGCTCCAGCCTGTCCTGTGTGCAGAGCTGGTGTCCAAGGCTCATTGCCTACCCAGGATCCTTCTGCAGATAAGGGGTAAGCTGAGGCCTGGTTCACTTTGCTCTCCAGTGGCACAGCCTCTTGTCGCACTGAGTTTCAGGGAAGCGCAGTTGTTGGAGACTGGGGGTGTCTGTCTTACTGCTTGGCTTTTGTGTATCTACAGGCTGGATCGGGGAGCCCCCTCTATCTGGCTCAGAGGTATTTATTGGAAAACTCCCTCAGGACATCTATGAAAACAAATTAATTCCTCTCTTCCAAAGCGTGGGCAAGCTGTATGAGTTCCGCCTCATGATGACCTTCAGCGGGCTCAACCGTGGCTTTGCCTATGCCAAGTACAGCAATCGGCGCAGTGCACAAGTAGCTATTGCGGCTCTGAACAACTTTGAGGTGCAGAAGGGCTGCCCCATCATGGTTTGCAGGAGCACTGAGAAGTGTGAGCTATGTGTGGATGGCCTGTCGTCCTTGGTGGAGCAGGGCCAGCTGCAGACACTGTTGCAGGAGGTGACAACAGGGGTCCTGAACATCTCCCTGTATCGCAGCCCCTCCCGGAAGGGGGGACAGCTTGCAGTGCTGAAATACAACTCCCACCGAGCCGCAGCCATGGCCAAGAAAACTCTAGTGGAAGGTACTCCACCTCTGTGGGGAGGAGTGGGCCAGGGCAAGAGGAGTCAGAATGGAAGGGGCATTGCAGATCCCAGAAGTGGCAGTGGCTTCTCTGAGCACTAGTCTGGGAGTAGTGGGTGCATGTATCTTCTGATCTGCTTAAGTCTCTTGTCCTGATAGGATGATATCACCTTAAAATGGCAACACTGGTTACTGTCTTGTCCCTTTCCATGTCCTTTTGGATGTTGCCTTTGTTTGTGGCAGTTGATTGCCCCAGCTTTCCTGGGGTATAAATCACCAGGGCAGAAAGGAGAGCTTGGAAATGACAGCAGAGCTGTTGCTGGTCCCTCAGGCTAGATGAGTTTGGGGGTGGGTTTTCTCTAGTTTAGGCCTATATCTGGTAACCTGTAGCCATTGTCAGTGTAAACCCAACCCAGAATTGCAGGGAATTATCAGTAGGATCTCAAACTGTCTTGTCCAATACCTGATAAGTGTGGGGGGGAGGAATCTGTGTGCATTCTTACTCCCTCTTGCTTTCTTGCATGTACCGTCCCCATTCTCAGCACCAGGAGCACCAATGCTCTGAAACTAAGACCTGCTTCCTCTTGTGCATAGGTAACTTGGGCCTGTATGGAGAGGAAATCGAAGTGGATTGGCTGAAAGTAGACATGAAGCAGAAACTCCGTGCCAACTCGGAGAGAACCTTCCCGGAAAGCTCGCAGCCTCGTGGCTGCGAGAGGGACAGTCCAAGCCAGGCACCTGGTAATGCTGTGACGTGCCCCTTGCCACAGGCACTCTGTGTGTTAGACTACCTGAACGCACTGTGCAAGAAGCAGCAGCTGGGAATCCCTGTGTTTCTAACTAAATGTGTCCAAGCAAACCCTGACGGCTGGCTGCGGTTCTGGTATCAGGTGGTGATTCCAGGTTACCCATCCCCCTTCAGTGGGTTTATGTGGATCAAACCTGATAAATCTGGCTTGAGTGGACATGACAAGGCCAAAAATGCCATAGCGCTGCAGCTGCTCAAAACTTTGGGTGAGTCTGTGCACGGCTCTGCAGAGGTCTTGGGGCTGAGGGGAACAGCTCCCAAAAGCCAGGGTATTAAAAACCCAGTGACTCAGTTACAGGGATGCTGTTGGACCAAACTCGGCCTGGTATCTTGACCTTTTTATGTAGGTTTAGGAAAGAACCATAGAAATGTTTGCACATTCTTTCCAGTGGAATGCCAGTGGTTGATAGTCCTCTTCTGCATGCCCAACCCAGCCATTGCAACTTAGTCCTTATGCGTGAGACACTTCCGGTAGAGTTAGAGACCAGGCATGAACTGCCCTGAGTCTGGCTGAGGGGGAAATTCAGAATGAAAGTGAAATGAGCCAGCGAGAAGGAAGATGAAACTAAAATTGTTTCAAGGTTTAATCTTGGAAACATCTGTTCGCTTGCAGGATTTTTCCTGCTGTCCAAGTTAGGGGATGCCAGTATCTCCTGTTACCTTTGGGATTTCGAGGATGGGGAAGGGGGCAGGAATCAAAGGAATGTGAAATGCCTCCTGCTGGAGGGTAGGTGAAATACTACCCAGTAGAGTGACTCTGGGTTATGGGCTTCCTGTGCTAGCACTCCAGTGGCTGGAGTGTATTGATGTGAGCTGTAGCTGAAGGAGGAGCTGTGAGCTGCAGGAAAGGCTGGGTAAATAGTCTATTTTGGAAGGGGAGGGGTGTTCAGGCATGGGGAAAGGGGCGGGGCACACTGTCTCTCTGACTGTTTAGCTCTCTGCTGTGTTGCATATGGCTCTAATTCTCTTTTCCTTCCCCAACAGGGTGCCTGGTGGTGTAGGCTGGATGTTTCCACAGAGCCGTGTGCTGCCCCTCTGGGGCTCAGTGCATTGGCTTTGTGTTCCTGTCTCTGGCCCCTTGAGGGGAGGAGGGGTGGGGTAGATGTGTTCACATTTTGTAAGCTGGTTTTACAGGACGTGGGCACTGAGCAGAGGCTGCTTCTGGTCCCTGTTTGTGTTTTCTCTCAGATGTTTGACACAGATTTTTTTTGTTTTTTTTAATGTTTTTATGTTCTCTGCTCTGGCTGTGCCCAGGTGCGGTAACCCAGGGAGGTGCATGTCATGGGGATTCCCACATACCATCATAGAGGGACCAGCTAAACTGGCCAGGCAATGAAGGTCCCAATCTGCATAGGTCCTGGGGTCATAAGAAGATGCATGCTGGGTGACTGGGTGAGTCTGACCAGGCTCGAAGATTTTTCTTTTGTTCTGTTAAGGTTTTATTTGTATTGAAATGCACCTGCCAGAGTGCTCTTTGGAGAGGGCCTGGGGAACTCCCTGCTATTAGACTGGGCAATTAATGACTGTCCCTGGCATGTACAGCACAGAGCTATATTGGTAGCAAGCCCTGCAGGTGCACTGAGCAAGCCTCTGCTTCCCCCACCCTCATCTGGGGGAAGGGCTGCTCTGTTTAAATTCCTGGGACTAAATCTTGTTCTCTTAGCTCTTTGTTTGACTCATTCTGTTTGAAAGTTGTTTACTTTGCTTTAAAAGCTTGGTTGAGTTTTTTTATTGTGGTCTTGGCCAATGAGGTCAGACAACTGTCCTATGAAGCAAGGAAGAGAATGGGACACGCGCTGGGTGGGAAACACCCCCTGCAATGCTGCCTGTTCCACTGGCCTACGCTCTGTTTGGAAGAATCCAGTGTTCTCTGTTGGAAGCATCCCTCCTGGGCTGAGTCATGAGCGGAGGCCTTTCCTGAATCCTGCTAGTGCCTAAGTAGGGGAGGGTCACGGCTGGCATGGTGATGGGAGCTGTTTTTAATGAGGAAATGGTGACCACCTCTCTGAGGCACCAAGCTATTTATGAGCAAGGGGTTGTAAGGAAATGGCATTTGGGGTCCTCCAGTCCCCAGTGGTGTTGACAGTCCATGCCACTGTGTATGAATGATCATTCAGACTCTGACTGAAGGGTTGGGAGGTTGTATTAAAGAAGCCTGAAAGGCAACTGTTGTGTCTGGTCTTCTCTGGAGTATGGTGCCAACAGCCCTTTGGGCCCCCTGTATGTGGAATAGATCCTGCCTCTGTCACCAGTGCTGGCTTGGGCTCAGGGGGAGGGGTTCTTCTCCCCTGCTGCAATGCTGAGTCGCCATCCTGCTGGAGCAGAAGCGTTGGTGGGCTTCCTTGTCAGCAGTAGCCAGATGCTGCTGCCCTTGTGCCAGCTACACTTTCTTTCCCAAAGCCAGGCCAGTGAGGTGCTGTTCTAGAGTATCCTCCGGCCTAGCCTCTGACTACCCAGTCCCTGCCCGCAGCAGCATGAGCTCTGCTCTCCCCACTGCTTTGTCTCCAAGACTGGCCTGTCCACTCACATGGCATTTGGGCCTTGAAAAGCTCAACCTCATCTCTCCATTAGCTAATGCCTGGGGCTGGCAGGGTTAGGGAGGAGCTGCTGAGGTGTAGGGGGAGTTGCTGGCAGGGGGCAGCTCAGTTCAAGAAGGCCAGCTGCTGCTGAAGGTAAAGTGGAAGCTTAAATGCTTCAGGGAGCAGTGGCAGGTGCTCAGCCTTACTCCTGGTACTGAGCATCTCCAGGGTCTGTCTGCTGGTGAGCTGCCCTGGCCTTAAAGAACTTGGGAAGGGGTGACAGATGCTCTGATCCTGAGATGGAGCTTGTGGGTTTTTGAAGAGGGGTTTTGGGGATGAATGCAAAGGCTCAGCTAGGAGTGAAGCACCTGCCTCATGGTGGTTGCTCATGTCCTCCTGGGAAACTAGCTGCCCCTTCCTTTGGAGATCTATCAGTTCAGTGCAGCTGCACCTGTCTTCCTCTCCTGTGCTCCACTGTGGGCTCCTACTTAAATTCTCTGGCTTCCTGCTGTCACCTCATGATAGTGACAGAGACTAGTTCATTCTCTCTCCTGAGAGGTGGTTTTCTGTGCTGCAATTCCCTACCTATACTGTGATATTCCTAGCAAGCCAGACTGCATAAACTGGCCACTGTCTGTGCTTTGCTTCCTCTCCACTGCTTATGCCCAGAGTAACTGCCTGCAGTTACACCCAGTTTTTAAGCAAGTACATTTATTCTTAATGTGAAAACTTTTTGAAAGCACTAAAAAAACCTCCATGCAAGGAACAGTGCTTCCTGGAGCTCATGCCCACTCCATCCTGGGCCTCTACTAGCTGTTACAAATTCAGCATCTATACATACCCCTTTCCCCCCTGTTTAAAAGTTCATAGCTGTCTGATTCAGAACTAGAGCCCAGACAGGGCTGATTTGGCCTTTTTAGTGATGCAGCTCAGGCCCTTGATCTCCAGCCTCTTGTACGATAAGCAGCAGCCTCTCCTTAGGGCCTATGTCGGGCAGGCTTGGTTTTGTGTAAGTAGAGTTAAGGGAATTTGTATTAACCCTTCCCAAAGTATTTCCCAGGAAACCCACTGATGGTTCCAACCTATTCATTCTCATCTGCCACCTTGTTCAATCTAGTCCTTGAATCCCCCTAGCCTCACATCATGTCCCCCTAGAGAGTACACCCTAGCCCCATAGTACAGAAACTCCCTTAATTCAATAAGGTTTCCCAAGGATCTGCTGGCACTTGCCCTCTTGTCACATTTCTCTCATCGCCCCCCTTGTCAGGCTCTTCTGTTATGAGACTAGGGAGTTCCCCCTCTCCTAGTGGTAGGGTGGGTAGGCAGGCAGGCAAGAGATGTACCACAGGCATCCTTTTGTGATCAAACAGCCCATCTGGGACACAGTCTGGCTACTCCATACTGCTGAATGTGCTGTCGGTGTGGAAAGCCCTGTTGGAGGGCTTGGTGTAGGACAGCCAAAGCACAGTACTCTCCACTCTGGACTCCCTTCCCTCATCTCTGCCCCAGCTCCTTAGTGCATTCCCCTGAGGGTGACCATCCCCCTGTCCTTCCTAGCTGAGTGCTTTCTGAAATGGCTTGTAAACTCTCCATGCAAATGGCTCTTGCAGTTAAGGGACTGTGCTGCCTTTTGTGTGACTTGCTCCTGCATGGGTGGTGTTGCCTAGTCTCTGTCCCAACCTACCAGAGTGGTCACAGCTGTTCTCTGCATGAACTGGCACAGGTAACTCTGCGGTGCCTTGGACCAGTTCTGTCAGAGCAACTCCTCAGTATGTCTCTGTGTCTAGATGCTGTTAGGGCTTGAGATGATGATGGGAGCCATGGCCTTGAATGAACCTGCTCTGGCTCTGTTTTCCACCCCACCATGTGGTTAAAATTCAAGATGTTGGCACCCAAAATCACTGGTCACTCCTGGAATTCCAGGCCTGACTTGGGAAAGGCTGATTATGGATAACCACGCTGAGCCCTTGTAGTGCTGCCCACCTGTCTGTCACTGGTTTCTGGAAAGGAGGGAGCAGAAACCCGTCCTATACCTAGGCCTAGGGCAGGAGAGGAGAGAGAGGGCTGTGTACAGGCCAGAGCATCTGTGGACTGTGTGCCAGGCCTGGTGTGTTAAAGGTGAGCTGCAGCAGAAGAGACTGGTGTTTTTCAGTGATGTACAAAGCCTAAGCTTCCCTCACCTTGCTCTCTAGTATCAGAAAAGCTACAGCCAATGCATGAGCAGTCGGCTATATAGTGGAAGGTTGGGCTTTTTTAATCCCTTATGCAAAGGGCCAAGTATGTTGATTTGATGAAGGTCAAGGGATGGCTATTTAGTTTAAATAGGTGCTACCAGAAGGCAGCATGGCATAGATCCTGGGGCCTGAGAGTGGGGTTCAAGTCCTTCAGACACTGACTTGCTATGTGAGTGCATTACTTAATGTTTCTCCTCCCACCCTTTGTCCAGGTAGACTGTCACTTGGGCAGAGGAACTGCCCTTTTTGTATATGTTGGGTACAGCACCTAGCACCTATTCTTCCTCGGGCTTGGGATGAAGTGGGAATTTTTAATGTTTTGTATGACTATGGTGTGTGCCTCAGTTTCCCTGTGTGGTGCATATTTAACTAGTTTCATCAAATAGGGACAGGGGGAAGGTGGTTTACTCTTTGGAGAGAGTCAGGCTATGGCTACACTACAGAGCTTACAATGGTGTAGCTGCACCTATGCAGTACTGCTAGTGCAGACATGCTGTGCTGCCAGGAGAGAGCTCTCCCATCAACTAAATTACTCCAGTCCCCAGGAAGCTCTCCCACTGACATAGCAGTGTCCACACTGATGCTTAGGTCAGTGTAACTAATGTGCCTTTAGGGGCTGTTTAGTCATACCCTCAGTGACATAGCTTATACCAATGTAAACTGTAATGTGTTCATAGCCTCAGAGATACAACTGTGATCAGTGCCGAGCTGCCGGGGTCCCCATGTGCAGGGAGAGGCCCACACACAATAGCCACTCCAGTTGGTCATACACTTGGCACCTAGCAACAAAGGGCTGGGGATGGCCCACCATCTACAGGAAGCCACTGTCGTGTGATGAGCTGGAGAACAAAGGACTGAGGAGGGCCAGGTGGGGTTGTTAAGTGTGGGCTGCTGGAGGCAGGAGAGAAGCTTCCTGAGGGGGACTAAAGAAGTCAGAGGGTTCAGCACTGACCCACATGACCTATTCTGTAACTTTCTGTTCTCTAGGGTAACTAAGGGCATTCCAGACATCTAATAAACCCTCCTACTGGCTGAGTCACTCCAGTGTTGGGTAGGGGGTGCATTGCTCCCTTTGGGTGTGCCAGTCTCTCTCAGGTGCCCAATCCAGGGGGACTTGT